TGTGTTTAGTGCTGCCTGCAGCCCAACAATCTTGGGAGTCACTCTGACACAATAAAAGAAATGCTTATTCAGAAGACATGATCTTTCAGTATGTAAAAAGCCACCCACCATCAACAAGAAACATGGATTTTAACAGATAAATAAGGAATGAAGATTGAATTGACTACAGGGAGATTTATTTAGCAACTGTTTCCAATTTGTGTTTGGGACCTACAGTAGCATCATTTTATGACAAGTCAAAGCCAACTTGCTATTTACGTTGCATATAAACAAGCCTAAGTGAATAATTAAGCAACTGAAGTACTTGTTTTCCAAACTGTAGGCTAAGTTTAGAAGATACGATACCTCTTAGCACTTCTTGTTTCTTGAGAATACTAAGAATGATTAGCATCACTACACACATACTGTGGAGTTTTGGAAGTAATTCCAAAAAGATACACAAGCAAACCTAATGCAAGTTCTTGCATTTATTCTAAGATTATATTCCTAATAAGGATATTGTCTTCATAAACAACATTCATTCAGAAATGAATGAAACACACCAAATAAAGTTTGTTAAATGTCTTCTAAAAGCCAATCCAGACTGCATAAGCAGTCTTATATTCTATGAAATTTCAAGAATATTATTGCTAATAATACTAGGTTTAGTTACAGCAATTTCTGTTCAGCTGAAATAACTGATTTATTTTTTTTTTTTGAACAGATGAATTTCAGTCAGCATGTGCTGACGTTTTTATTTCATTACAGTGCTTACACTTCAAACGAAAGTAGTGAATTTAAAAGCCCAAGAGTTATTAGCATTGGCAACTAAAGTATTTTTTGCGTAAAATAATACAATATTGCAAATTTATTCATGTTGTTTGGCAAACATATCTCAGTTCTTTACCAACTATTTCATTGCAAGCCTTCAGACATTCACACCATTGTTAGTGAAGACAAAAACAATGTTTGATAGAGCACTGGGGGCAAATATTGAATTGAGTAACTAGAGTAATTATTGCAGAAATCAATGTGAATAGTAAGACAAGGAGCGTCATGATGGGCCACTTTGTTCACATGCTCTTTATTTTCCTCCTTTGATCTCTCGTATTTTCCTCTGACTTATTGTAACAGGCTGGTCTGACTGGGTGCTTTTGGGTACTGCTAGCTTCTGCAAATTTCAAACTCATTACTACTACTTTTTGCAAAATGCTATAATGGTTTTATTATGTGGATATCTGTCTCCCAGAAACAAGGGTAAGATGAACAAAACATTTAAGATGTATCATTGAACAACTGATCTTAAATTTCAGGTGTCATATTATCATCATGTGTTAACATAGAGCAGGAATCACAACTGATTTTATTTTCACAGTCCCATAGCAAGGACTTCATTTAATAAAAGTAGTATAAATAAATAATATAGAAATATAGTGACCATATTTAAAATACTTATAATTTATTCCTGAGTGCAAAGACAGGCTAAACCTAAGGCTGACAGTATAATGATTACTTTTCCCATATGCACAATGTATGTCTTTATAAAATCATCATAGAAGCATAGAATCATCATAGAATGGTGATGCATATAAAAAAAATGCAATTTTCTAAACACTAAAGAACGCTATCATCTGTATATCTAAAGCCTTGTAAGATGCATATTATACAGTGAATGAAATGAAACTCTCCAGGCTTTTCATTCTTTGTTTAATTCCCTGGAGTCCACAGATGCTATGAAAAGCCTTAAGACAGAAAGCATGACAGTACAGTATTTCATACAGTATTTATATAAATTTACAAGCACTGTATGAATAATCCTTATAACTTCCAAATATTTACATTTCTAAATCTTGACCCTTTATATGCCTACAGAAATTGCAGGAAATAAGCTTTCCCTTGTGTATGAACAGGAAGGTGGCTTATCTGAGTTTTATCAAATTCAATTCAAACATACTTCAAATGCAATTACCACACAGAAGACCTTGTTTATGTGAGTAACTATGTTACATATCTGCTATAGGAAATAGTGTGTCGTGCATTTTGCCGAGCATATGCGCCAATACAGGCAAAAAAAGCAGATGTTATTTTTTCTTCTTTTAAATCAGCTGATAATCCATGAGCAGCTCTCAGTCTAGCATTGACATAAAATTTGAAACTTCAGTTAAGAAAGCACAAATTTAGATACAACAAATTATCCTAACCTGTGTTTCAGGTTTAATTCCAAAAAAACCCTTCAGACTGTCCCCTGCACAGAAATAGGACACAGGGAAATCTGTAAACTCTCTAAAATTCTTCACTCTCCATAACGTTTAAGAAATGTTTCTTAGTTTCCTTAGTTTATGTCCAGCTAGTACATGAGCTGTCTGTTGGTATGAGTATGGGTTCCAACTTCCCTTAAACTGAACTATCCTCATACATCTATCAGAAAGATAACACTCTTAAATAATTTTAAAGAATTACCTGTTTTGTGTTTTTCATACCACCGTGCTTTCATACTAACTGTTGTTTAGTTATGAAATGAGCTACTACATCCAGAAGCGATGTAGAATAGCAGAGAAGTGTCTCGATGCTTACAGAGAAGGTCATCAGACACTTAGCGGGTTTATATTTCTTAATATTTTAGCTCTTTCAAAATCATAAATGGCAGATATCGATGTACTAAAACAGCTTCTTATTTATGTACTTATTTAGTGGTGGAGGATTGTTATGAATCCATTGTAATTATTCCTGTTGGCTACTTACTGGTCTTTTCTGGGAGGCAAGCTAAAAACTATTAATAGCATGAATTAAGCACTACTTTCTTATAGATTACACCCTTTTTAAATTTTGATACCATCATTTTCTAAGTTCTGATTAACCAATCAATTCTTCAGCATTTAAAAGTTTACTTTCTTCTATATTTTTTTCATTACGCTATAATGTGTTCTTTAGCACTGCTAGTTACTCACCTGAGCTTTCTGTGAATTAGTTGTGACCATGGCATGTAGTTGCTTTGGTACAGACAAAAATATTGTGTAGCTCTCACTCACGATACAACTGCTTCAGAATATCTACTTCTTGACCCATTGATAGTTCATTTAGTAGAGAATTTCTTAAGAAGCTAGAGTTATCTGCAGATTTATATTTGGGTCTGTTAGAATCATTGCATGTGGAAAGCAACAGGGCTCCCAAGTTTGTGCAACAGATGTGAGGAGAAAGAGTTACTCCCCCCTCCTTTCTTCTTGTGACCGTGTTTGTTAGCAGAGCTGCTCACAGCAACCACTTACATACACTAGAGGTAGCCCCCAATTCACCATGTGCTGACTTTGTTGTTTTGGTGCCAAGGGTCCATTCCTGTCCCCCTTGCAAAGAAATTCCCGGCAAATGTAGGTTAGACTTTGAAGATGAGAGAGAGGACAAAAAGCAAAGACATGCAGAAGAACAAAAAACACACGAAGAACAAAAAAAGTCCAGGAAAACAAATGGGCAAAAAAGGCAGAAATTTGGTATGGCAGCCATGTTTCCACCTAGGACCCCCTTCATCCATATACTGAAAGGGACAAAGGTTTGGGAAGGAGTGAATATGTGACTGTCGTCTTTCCCCAGCACCAGGCTCTCTGTTCAAAGAAAGAGAAGCATCTTATTTGCCTGATCAGAGAGCGGGGAGCTTGCTTACCACAAAGACTCTGAAGCACCCAACAGACTTCCCAAAGCATCCTAAGGCAATTGGTGGGCACCCCCCCCCCCCTGGGAGACCCCCCCCAAAAAATGCCCCCCCATTAACTGACCCCCCCCAAAACCCACGATCCCCCCCAAAACACCCTCCCCCATTAACGGGACCCCTCCCTTTTACCCCTTTTTGCCCCCCCCCATTTAGTGCCCCCCCCATTGTATGCCCCCCCCCCCAATTTTTTGTGCCCCCCCCCCCCCAGCCCAGTTCCAGGACCTGCTGGGTGCTCAGCTCAGCCCCCCCGTCATCCTCACGGCTGAGAGACCCGGTGAGTGCCCCCCCCGTGACCTCTGACCCCCCATGATCTTTGACCCTTCGGGGGTCAAGGTTTTTTTTTTGGCGGGGGGGTCCCCAGCTGGGGGGCTTTGCCATGGCCTCGTGGGGCTTCAGCACGTGGCGGGGCCAGGACCTGCGCCTGGGGAGCTCTGGGTGCCCCCCCTCACGTGACCCCCCCACGTGACCCCCCACCGTGTAAACCCCCCCCACCTGCACCCCCCTCCCCCGCACGAGACCCCTTCCATGTGCCCCCCCCAGTGTCTGAAGCCCCCCCCCAAAAAAAATTCTCCCCCCCCATCGCCCCCAATCCCAAGCCCCCCCCAAAAATCCCCCCCGGACCCCCCCGATATCCCAAGCCTCCCCCTCCCGAGCCCTCCCACCCCATAGATCCCCCCAGAACCCCTCCAACATCCCAAAATTGCCCCCCCATTGCCGCCCCCCCAAAAAAAATCCCCCCCCAGCTACCCCCAACCCCCCCCAGGAGTGCCCCCTTCCCCTCCAAGCCGCCCCAGACCCCCCCCAAAAACTCCCCCCCCCCATCACCCCCAATCCCAACCCCCCCCTCCAAAATCCCCCCCAGATACCCCCAGACCCCCCCAAGAGCCCCCCCCACCCCACAGACCCCCCAGGACCCCCCCCAAGCCCCAAATTCCCCCCCATTACCCCCCCCTTCAAAAATCCCCCCCAGGTACCCCCCCCGAAGACCCCCCTCTTCCCCTCCAAGCCGCCCCCAGAACCCCCCCAAAAAAACTCCCCCCCCAATCACCCCCATCCCAACCCCCCCTCCAAAATCCCCCCCAGATACCCCCAAGACCCCCCAGGCCCACCTCCCAAGACCCTCTCCCCCCAGTTCCCCCCCCCCCCTAATTCCCCCACCAGATAAAACTGTACAATGTTATTTTGGCTCCTGGTTTATTTTTGCTCTTCCCCCCCAACAAAAAAAAAAAAGGGGACCCCCACAAAATGGGGACCCCAATAATTTGCCCCCCCCCCAAAAAAATGGGGTCCCAATAATTAAGGACCCCACATTTTTTGCCCCCCTGCTCACAGGTTCCCCCTGCGGCCCAGGGCGGCCACCACCAGCAGCAGCAGCTCGGTGATGGCAGGGGGGACGCTGGATGGAAAGGGGAGAAAAAAGAGGGGTTAATTTTATTTGGGGGGGGGGGATTTTTTTTGGGGGGTTCCCAATCTTAGGGCCCCCCCCGGCTTGTTTCACCCACCTGTAGAGCCCCAGGAGCAGCCAGAAGCCCCTCACCTCCCAGCACTTCCTCAGGGCATAATACAGGGTGAAGGAGGCTGCCGCGTGGAACCGCAGCGCTGGGGAGGTCAAGGAGAACAACTCGGGGGGCCCCCCCGACCCCCCCCCCCGGGAATTTTAGGGACCCCCCCCCCCAATTTATTCCTCCCCGCACTTGTTTTGGGGTCCCCATGCTTCAAGAGGCTGGGGCCCATTGGATTTGGGGTGCCCCCCCCTTTTTTAGGTGCCCCCCCCCTTTTCTAGGTGCCCCCCCTTTTTTAGGAGCCCCTCCTTTTGCGACACCTCCCCATTTTGGGGTACCCCCCCACTTTTGAGACAATCCCCCCATTTTGAGCTGCCTTTTGGGGTTCCCCCCCATATTTAGGATCCCCCCCATCTGCCCCCCCCAAAATATGCCCCCCCGTGAGTTTTAGGGTCCCCCCCATATTTCAGTGCCCCCCCCATTTTTCAACCCCCACCCCCCAACATTTCACCCACCCCATATTTTATGCCCCCCCTTTATTTTAGACCCCCCACCGTATTTTCCTTTCCACCCCCCCTATTTTAGGATCCCCCTTATTTTACCCCTCCATATTTTACGGTCCCCCCTGTCTCTTCCCCCATTTCAGGACCCCCCCATATTTCAAGCCCCCCCCCAAACATTCCAGGACCCCCCCATATTTCCAGCCCCCCCCAATATTACCCCCCCAATATTTTAGCCCCCCCCACTTCACCCCCCCAAAACCCCCCATTCACACCAATCCCCCCCCATACTCCTCCACCCCCCTCGTTTTTTCCTCTCCCCCCCCAATTTTTTTTGCCCCTCCCCCAGTTTTTTGCCCCCCCCTCCTATTTTTTGGTGCCCCCCCCTCAATTTTTTGCCCCCCCCCGGGGGTGCAGGATACAGAACATCCCTGCAAGCGGTGGAACCTGGACACCCCCGCGAAGAAACCCCCAAATTCGATGGCCAGCAGCCCCGCAGCCAACCCCAGGGCGCACAGCAGCCTGGGGGGGGGACACACATTATTTTTTTTTGGGGGGGGTGCAGGGTTTTGGGAAGGTATGTGGGGTTTTTGGGGAGGGGTATGGGGTTTTTGGGGTGGTCAAGGGGTTTATTCGGGGGGGCACAGGGGTTTTTTGGGGGAGGGTTACTTGTTTTTGGGGGGGCAGGGTTTTTTTGGGGGAGGATAAATGGGGTTTTGGGGGGGAAATGTTTTTTTTGGGGGGGGCACAGAAGGTTTTTGGGGGGCCACAGAGGTTTTTGGGGGTGTCAGAATCCGCTGGGGGGGGGCAGGATTCTTATGGGGGGGGGGTCAGGGTCCCTATGGGGGTATTGGGGTCCTCCTGGGGGGGGCAGTGATGACCCCATGGGGGGGGGTTGGGGTGTTTGGGGGGGGGTCAGGGTCTTTGGGGGGGGTCAGGGACCCCATGGGGGGGGTTGGGGTCCTCGTCGGGGGGTCATCCTTTTGGGGGGGGTCAGGATCCCTTTGAGGGCATTGGGGTCTCCGTGGGGGGGGTCAGGATCCTTTTGGGGTGCTGGGATCCCTGTAGGGGGGGTCAGGATCTTTTTGGGGGGCAGCAACCCCATGGGGGGGTCAGGATCTTTATGGGGGGGTCAGGGACCACGTGGGGGTGTTGGAGTCTCCATGGAGGTGTTTGGATCCCCATGGAGGGGGGTTCAGTGTCCCCATGGGGGGGGCAGGGTCTATGAGGGGGGGGGTCAGGCCCCCATTTTGGGGGTCCCGCCCTGACTCACTCGGTGTTGACACGCGCGTACTCCTCCGCCGAGAATTCGAGGGGCAGCGAGGCGCGGACGGGGTGTCCTGCGGGCGATTAATTAAAGCTGGATAAAAACCCATTAATTTTCATGCGGGGAGGGGTACTTATTGGGGGGGGGGAGCTGTTCTATTGGGGGGGCGTTTGATCCCTTACCCGCCCATGCGACCCTGCCCAGGGCCACCAGGTGGGCCATCAGCGTCAGGAACCGCGTCAGCGCCACGGCCCACAGGGGAATCATCGGGGCCTGGGGGGGCAAAACCTTTAGGACAAAACCTTTAGGACCCCCTCCCGGCTCCCCCAGACCCTCCCCAAATTCCCCCCCCCCCCCCAGGGCCTGCCTCACTTTTAACGGTTTTTGACGCCCTGCGCTAGGCCGCGCGTTGCCACGGCAACGGTGGTCCCGGCCCCGACTCCGCTCCCTTTCCCGCCACTTTCCTCGCCACGCCCCCTTGGCGAGGTCCCGTGGCCGCTCAAGAAGGGAGGGGGCTCCAGGACCTGCTGGGGGCTCAGCCCCCCCCCCCGTCATCACCTCACGCCGGGGTCAAGGTTTTTTTTTTGGCGGGGGGGGTCCCAGCTTTGTGCCCCCCAGGGGGGTCCTGGGGGGCTTTGCCGTGGCCTCGTGGGGCTTCAGCACGTGGCGGGGCCGGGACCTGCGCCTGGGGGAGCTCTGGGTGCCCCCCCCTCACGTGACCCCCACCGTGTAAACCCCCCCACCTGCACCCCCTCCCCATGAGACCCCCTTCCATGTGCCCCCCCAGTGTCTGAAGCCCCCCCCCAAAAACAAATTCTCCATCCCCCATCGCCCCCAATCCCAAGCCCCCCCCCCAAATCCCCCCCGGACCCCCCCAGATATCCCCAAGCCTTCCCCTCCCGACGAGCTCTCCCCACCCCATAGATCCCCCCCAGAACCCCTCCAACATCCCAAAATTGCCCCCCATTGCCGCCCCCTGCAAAAAAAATCCCCCCCCCCCAGCTACCCCCAACCCCCCCCAGGAGCGCCCCTTCCCCTCCAAGCCACCCCCAGACCCCCCCCAAAAAACTCCCCCCCCATCACCCCCAAGCCCCCCCCCCCCCTCCAAAATCCCCCCAGATACCCCCAAGACCCCCCCGAGAGCCCCCCCCACCCCAGACCCCCCAGGACCCCCCCCAAGCCCCCAAATTGCCCCCCATTGCCCCCCCCCTCCAAAAATCCCCCCAGGTACCCCCCCGAAGACCCCCCCTTCCCCTCCAAGCCGCCCCCAGAACCCCCCAAAAAAAACTCCCCCCCCCCCATCACCAATCCCAACCCCCCCCTCCAAAATCCCCCCCCGGATACCCCCAAGACCTCCCCAGGCCCACCTCTCCAAGACCCTCTCCCCCCCAAATTCCCCCCCCAGATACCCCCAAAACCCCCCTGGACCCCCCCCCCCCACCCAGGACCCCTCCCAACCCCCCAAATCCGCCCACCCCCAAAAAAAAAATTCACCCCCCCCAGGACAAGGTGTGCAGGAGCTGCTGCTACAGGGGGAGGCCCAGGTAAGGTGGGGGGGGGGGGGGAAAAGGGAATTTTTTTCAGGGGGGGGGGCACCCAAAATTGCCCAAAATTACCCCCCCCAATTAATTAATCCCCCCCCACTAATTAAAGGCTTTCCCCCTTAATTAGACCCCCCCCCTAATCAGAGCCCCCCCTTTAATGACAACCCCCCACAATTAATTGAGTCCCCCCTCTTAATTACACCCCCCCTTAATGACAGCCCCTCCTTTAATTACAAGCCCCCCCACACTTAATTAATGCCCCCCCCCAAATTAGGGGTTTTCCCCCTTAATTAGACCCCCCTCTTAATTTCAGCCCCCCCTTACAGCCCCCCCGATATTTACAGCCCCCCCTTTAATTACAGCCCCCCCCCCCAATAAAACTGTGCAATGTTATTTTGGCTCCTGGTTATTTTTGCTCTCCCCACCCCCCCCAAAAAAAAAAAGGGGACCCCCACAAAATGGGGACCCCAATAATTAGGGCCCCCCAAAAAAATGGGGTCCCAATAATTAAGGACCCCCCCAAATATTTTTATTTGGGGGGGTCACTGGGGCCCCCCCCAGGGTTTGTTTTTTTTTTTTTTTGAGGGGGGGGGTCAGGAAGGGATAAATGGGGGTTTCTTGGTGGGGGTGTCTCAATTTGCAGGGGGGCATTAGGGAGGGGGCTTCATTGTGGGGGGCTCTTCTTGAATTTTTTTTTTTGGGGGGGAGGGGAGACCCTGAGGGGGGGGAAGATGCTGATGGGGGAGGGCTGTGTGTCCCCAAATTTGGGGGGGGGAGAGGGGTCTTGTGTGTGGGGGTGGCTGCATCTCCCCACTTCTTTTTTTTTTTTTTTTTTTTTGGGCGGGGGGGGGAGCTCTGATGATGTTGGGGGTGGGGGGGGTGGGGAAGAACATTGGGGGGGGATGGGAGAACACTGAGGGAGCGGGGGGAGGGGACCCCGGGGTGCTGCCCCCCTCCCCTTCTTTTATCTCCCCCCCACCCCCCCAGCACCCGGTAGCGGTGGTTAGGCGGCGCCGCCCGTGAGGCCGTAGCGGGTGCTGAGAGCACCCTGGGGTGCCCCCCCCCCGCCCCCCCGTTGTCCCCGGGTGCCACCACGGCCCCCCCGCTGGGATTTGCCCCCCCCCCCGAGCCCCCTCCCGCGCTGCCGCCGCCATGCCCAGTGGGCCTCAGCGAAGCGTTTTGTAAACGGCAAGCAGGAATGCTGTGGCATTAAGGATTGCAGCTAGTGTGTATGCATTGCTGAAAGGATTTGATCATAGCTTCTGTGGCTTGCAGGTGTTAGAATACTTCGAAACCTGGCATTCGTTGAATGCTTCCTCTTTATTGCTTACAACTCCTGATCCTGAGCAGCTGAAGAATCAATTGCAGAGCGGGGACTTTCTACTCGCAGCTTTAATGGCTTCACGTTGCTCCAATGAGCAGATCTTTGCCAAGCTGCCTAGGCAGGGAAGGTGAATACACGTTCTGCATGAAAAGGTTTGTGTGTAGCTTGACTGTCCCAAATTTCTTAGGACAGTGTTTTCCACAACTTCCCCTTGTAAAGAAATACATTCAGTAATCCGTATCACTGTTAGACTAACATGGAATCGGCTGACGGCAACCAACTGCTATGGAGGAAATAATACACGACGGATGATGAAAGGGATGTTTTCTCTTACTGCAAAACTCTATAAAGATTTTTATTTGAAAGTTGTCACGTGAGTAGCTGGGTCTGGTACTCCGTGTTAGTGAATTTGGAAGGGCCGTCTGGCCCGTTTATGATTAGCCACAGAAGAGGCTGTGACTATTCTACAGGCTAACACAGCTGGTGGTGGTGACTGAATCTTGCATTATCTTATCTTAGAATTATAGAATGGGAATAGGTTGGAAGAGACTGTAAATTATATTTCTTTGGAGATAATATTTTCATAGTACTGAACACAAAACTAGTATCTGCAGCTTAGCTGCATTGGAAGGCAGCTAATAAAAGGAGCCGTGAAGCCGGAAAACCCTAGTCAGTATGGTCTTAATAGTATGACAGACACGTTGCTTGCACAGCAGCCCATTTGGCTTGGTAAGAATAAAAATTTGGGGGTTTAGTTTGAGAAAAGCTGTAGCACTAAAGTGGAGAAAACAGATTATGTTCACTTCTCTGAAATTAATCTGCAGTTATTTTTTTTGTTATTATTATTTAAATGCTTTTCTGTTGTGCTTACCTACTTGGATTGAGTACTGGGCTTCCTTGGGGTCAGTTCTAAAAGTTGTTTTCTGGTATTCCAGAGAAGGATGTATTTAAAAAACAACAATGGTATAAGAGGCTTTCCTTTCCCTAGAACTACGTGGAAACTGTGTAACCTTCATGCTAATACATATTTGAATAAGATTTTATAAAGTCTTTTTTATAAAAGATTTATGGATGTAATTTAAAGATTTTAGTGTCTTAAATTTTGACAGGTGTAAGCATAGAACCTAGCTTTCAGTTTGGATGGACTCCCCTGATGTGTGCTGCCAGTGTGGCTGATTTTGCAGTGGTGCGTCTCCTTCTGGACAGAGGTGCCAATGCATGCTTTGAAATAGGTAAGATGTGAATAAAAATAGTGGCCAGTACCTCCCCGTGTCAGACACTGTCCTACCTTTATTCTCTTTCTATGCAGAGAGAAAAAAATGAAATGATCACAATGGAACTGGGATATAGTCTAGATTTGTAAAGCAAAAGTAGTATCTCTGAAGTAAGATATATATGCATTCTTGGATCTCATCTGGATTCAGCTGATGGATATCCTTATTCTGGCTCTCTCTTTCCCTCTCATTCTGTCTTCCATAGCACCTCCTGATCCCCAGGTACATCTTTTAAAGCGGTGTTTGAAAATACCTGTTTAAGAATCCTAGGGTGAAGTTGTAGAGTTAAAACTTCCTTTGTTTGATCCTGTTATGAATGCAGAAAACAGCTAGAATCCTGAATTTTGGGTGGTACCCACTGCTTTTAAGTTCATGATGACGATGTTGTTTCATCCCTTCTAAATCTAACAGAAGTGCTTTTTTCCTATAAAATGTTACTCCTTTGTTCAGCTTTCCAGCTGGTTATGTGCAATAGATTCATCTTTAAGGCCTTGGTTGATGCTTCTCCCGCTGCAGTTGTTTGCTTTCTGCTCTCCAGTCCCTCGTTGTTAGCCTTCAAACGTGCCAGCTGACCTGCTCGTGTGATCGCAGTGTATCTCGTTTCAGACCAAAGTAATAAATAAGCACTAGGTTTTAGGTTAATGATGGGTTTTGATTGTTATATTTTAAATGACTACACCCTAACAATCAGAAGAGTAGGTCACATGTCAGGTCTGCAAGATGGTGACAAAGAGTAATTCCCTTCCTCTGGCATGAACTGAAGAAATAATGTGCTTGCAGGAGTAGCTGTCCAGTTGATGGGAAACTACTGTAGACTTCTATGAAACTAGAGCAAAAGTTTTATATTAAGTGAAAATTACTCTTCAGTGTGTTGCCAAATCTGGGGTTTTGGCAAGAGTTTAATGGAACTTATCAATACTACTAGTTCCTCTCTCAGTTTTTATAGCTCATTAATAACTCTCTCCTGCTTCGACTGTAGTGTTTTCCTTCTGCTTTGTTATGTTGGAAAACTTAGCCGAGCTCTAGAAAAGACATTGTAATACAGAAGAAACTGACGAAACGTGTTACTATGAAGTACATAAAAATGGTACTCTTATTTTCCAGTAGACTGCCAGTATTTGTAATAGAAGTAGTAGACTGCAGTGCAGGTGGTACAAATCAGGACTCTGAAATTTTCTTGAACTTCTTAGGAGCTGATCAGTCTGAGATAAGAGTAGATTGCCTGCACCAAGGACAGGTAAGCCTTCAAATTACTGTCCTTAGCCAGTGTCAGAGGACTTGCATGTGGCTGCTACAGTTCATGCTTGTTCCGTGTTTATGGTTGTAGAGAGCTGTAAAATTGGACAGAAACTTCTGTGGGCAGCATTTTCAGCCATCCAGTTAACCAACGTGCATGGCATTTTTTCACCCTGTGACCAGTTGTGTTTGCCCAAAGTGGCACCTTGCTGGGACCAGGTTTCTCAGCTTGTTTCCTTGCTGGTTCGTATAGCGAAATAGTAGCTAGGGCACAGCTGAGCATTGTGCAGCCAGGAGCAGTCTTGCAAGCGATTGATTCAGGTCAAGCCAAATGTGTTCAGTACAGCTATGCCATCCCTAAGTGGCACTAAATGTCATCAGTCCTGGTTGTTCTGTACGAGCTGGCAATCACGCGAGTGATCCCGTACTAGTAATGTTAGAACCTTATAATCCTAACAACAGCTCTGCTGTTAATCACTGTTTGTCACGTTTCAGTTCTTCTTTGTAAGCTGCTCGCTTAATTTTACCCTAATAGTGGAATGAACTTTGATAGCCATGAAGAATGAGGAACTAATGGTAGCATTTGCTGTGTGGTGGCATCAGAATGTAGCATCTTGAAGGAGTAAATTCACTGTCTCTTCTGTGTGTGTGTTTTTTCAGCTAGCCTGACCACAGACTAATCTTTTACCAGTCTCTTACCATTTTTTCTGTGCAGAAGAGAAAGCTGAGTGTTCTGAGGTGTTTCTTCTTCTGCTTATGTATGACCTGTAGGTAGGCCAGCAGAAATCAACTTCCCACCCTTTATCACTATTTTAACTATGGAATATAAATATAACTACAGTTTCTTCTTAAATGTAATTCCCAGATCAATGATGTTTATTGCTATCTTTTGTTCAAAGTCCAGCCAGCTTTCAGTGCATGTTATTATCGATGACCAGTTTAAATGTTTAGAGCAAGAATCTGTTAGTGAATTAAATTATTTACTGGAAAGCTAATTACTTACGGTTAAGGAGTTTAAGTGACTCTATGAAACTTACTTTTTCATTGAATACACTGATTTATGCGTTCTACAACTTCTGTATGAGAAGGTTGAAAGTTGCAGGTTGGTCTATAAAAACCTAGGTGAATTTAAACACAAATCTAAGGTCGTAAGTTGGAGAAGTCAAAGACGAGAAGTTGGGAGAAGCAAAGAAAGTGGAGCAGATTGGGGTGAAGTATATAAACTTCTCAAGTTTAAATGCAAAAAATATCTGATCTCTTCTGAAGAATAAAGGTACTAGTGCATACGCAGTCCTAAGATTTCGATAAGAAAGGTAGAAAATATGTTGTAACACTTCAAGGATCGGTCTGAAGTATGTACAGTTAAAATTATACTTGTTAAATTGCTGAAGGCATGTTTGAGCTTGTATGTAAGTTTGTGCAATAAGCGAAGTGGGCAGTTGTTCAAATGACAGTCTTCTAAGCCAAAGAGCTTGCTAAGGTCCTTGAGGTGTGATGTTTTCCACATACCCGTAGGAGAAAAATAGGAAAGATCTCCCCTGTTCTGTGGGCGAACAGCAGTGGTGTGCAGTTCTGATCCATGAGTAAAGGTGGCACGTAACACTCAGCTGCCTTTGGAGCTGGAGCAGAGAAACACACCGGTTCCTCATGATGATTTTTTTACGTATTGTGGATGTGGATCTAAGGAACATACCTCCTTTTGCCATCTTCTTCTTGCCAGTACTGCACAATAGTAGTCTAGGTTTGTAAACTGCTTTCCTTTTCCTTCATCCCTTTAATAAAGCCTTGTTACTTGAACTGTCCTTTGTATGGACCCCTGTTCTCCCTACAAGTGATGCTGCTATGTGTTTTTTAAAAAATAGTTGCATGCACTTTTTTTTTTTTTTAACTGTTGCAGTTAACTTCAGTAAGATGTTTCTTCATTTGGCTGTGTTTTGGGGCGAGGTAGGGAGGAACAGGGATTGAATCTCATGGTGTGGACCAAGATTTTAGAAACAGATACCTAAATTTAAGCTCCTGCAGGTTTTTTGTTCACTACCTAAGCAAGCATCCTCACCTTCAGTAGTGGTAGATGCTCTACTAGTCTCATTCACTCCTGTCTTTGTCTTCTCTTTTTAGATGCCTTCATCTTACCTGATAATTCTAGTGACTTTTAGTGGAGGAAAAACAAGTTTCTTACCTTTACAAGTTTCTTAAATCTTAGTTTATCAGCACCTGATAAACAACTCTAGCAAATGTAAAGGCTTTTAAAGGAACTTTTGGACTAGCATAGTGTTGGTGTATGCAATTTTCTAACTGTAAGTTTCCAAACAGACAAGTACACAGTGCTGATGGCAGCGTGTGCTGCTCATGCTTCAGAGGAAAACATCTTGAAGACTGTGGAACTACTGCTGTCAAGGAATGTCGACCCTAACCTTACTTGCAGGTACAAAAAAAAGTCTGAACGCTGTATTATGTAGTATTACTGTAGAGACATTTTTAGGTTTAGTTGTTACCACTTGAGATGATGTCTACTTCATTAGCTTTTTGTAACTTTGCTGCTCGCTGTATATACAGAAAGATTAGTGTGCAGGTGTTTTTTTCTTCTAGTATAGTCATTCACCTGAGTAAGCGTGTGATCAAATTTATCAAATTTAAATGTGTGTGTGTGTGTTGTGTTTTTTGGTGTTTTTGTTTGTTCTGCTTTTTTTTTTTTAAATATAATTATTTTAATCCCTTTGGTTGACAATAGTGTAAGCACAGGAAATATATCCTATGATTTGGGAAAGGCAAATTTCTTATTCTGTATAAGGATGTGGCTTAACCCATCAGTTAATCGGTTAATTCTTTAAATACGTTCAGGCTTTGCTTTTGAGCTTTTTGCAATTATCTAGCTATATTCCTTACACAGATTCCCGTGGAAAAAGTAAGCTTCTGTGTAAATAAAACAGTTATTCTAATGCAAGCATGCTTTAATCTCCTTTAAAAAAAAAACAAACAGATGACAGTTTGTTTCTCAAATTACCATGTCCTGTCTCAGCAGTCTGAAGCAACGCATTGCAAGCTGTCTGTACTTGCATAGGCTGCTGCAGTGATTTGTTTTAAATCATGAAGAAGGCACTTCTGGGCTGATCCATGATGAAGTATCCTCCCTCTGCTGGAAGAAAAAAGCTTTTTGTTTAGTTCAAACTGAAACTGTTTGTTTTTCACTTGACTGAACTTACTTTTTTACACCACAGCTTTTTCACCTCTTTACCACCTTACCTAAAATAGGTGGACTGTGTAGTGATACAAAAAGAACAGAATTGGAGGCCTGTGGGTTCTTATTAAAATAATTCCATTAATTTGCTGGGCCCTGACCCTCACTATAATCGTAGTACTGATAGATGGGGAACAATAATAATAATAATTTATTTACAAAGTTATGCTGAAGTGGCACTGATCTACAGCACCAAAATTAAATGCCCCGTTCATTCTTTATAGGCTAAAAATTGCTCGTGAAAGAAAACTGTAAATTCTGAAATAATTACAACTTGTTGCCCTCGGATAGCTGGGTATTAAAATAAATGTCTTGCCTGAAAAAATGGGGGAAATCTTTCCATTATACAGCTTTGCCCTGGGTGTTTGAAAACAAGCTAAAGCTGAAAGTTTCCACTTAAAAAGGCCTTTGGCTGAACTTTGAAGAAAAAAAGGTTGGCTTCTGACACAAGAGTTGGGAATTTTAAGGGCAAAACCCTATTTATAAACTCAGTGTGTGTTTTGCATAGTTGATCTTATTTATTTACTGTCTCTCTTTGTTCCCTAAGACCTTGTGCTAACATGCGAGGTAATTCTGGAGTAGTACCAGATCCAGTGTCCAGTTGTGGTAGTTCTTGCTTTCTCAAATGAAAAGGTAACTGACAATCCAAAATGTAGCATTTCAACCAAACAAAAGTAGAAGTTAGATGACAAGAGCTGGATTTTTTTTATTTTTTTATTTTTTTTCAAAAATCTCCCTGCTGCCTTTTTTTCCCTTCCCAGTATTTGACTTCATGCATACTGCTCCATTATTAGAATTGCTTAGGCAGTTTAGCTGCTGCTTTGTGGGGGCTTCTTCCAGTGTGTTCAGAAGCACTGGGATGAAACCCATCAGGATTCTGGGAAGATCATGAAACTAAACACATCCTCTGCATGGCACTCAGGTCCTGCTTCGCCTGTTCTTTTAGATCAGAGTGTTCCGTAAGAAGACGTCTGAACTGTCAGTGAGTTGAGATTATCATGAGTCTTCACTATGTGATCAGTTCACTGCACGTTAAGAACTAAACTTTGCATTATTGGGTTATCTCAGTACTTAAAAAACAGCGATTTTAGGAATCTTCCCTTGCATCCACCAGCAACTGAAATGTATGTGAATTCACAGCTGAAAATCTATCTGTGGCGTAAGACAGAGTTTGATACTTGTTCTTTGTTGATCTGGCAGTGAAGCCATATGGATTGTTCTTTTTTCACATCATGTGGAGGTGATAAACAGGAATTTGAACGTTTTTTTTGACTAATTCATGAAGTGTGCATGATGAGGCAGAAGAGTGCTAAAAAATAACCTGTTATTTGAAATGCAGTCTAAGAAAGAAGACAAGTTTAAGAGTGGATAGGTAAATGGTTTCTTTGCAATAGAATAGAATACTAAGGAGAAAGTACTAAGCAGAGTAACTTCTGTTATTTTTGCCGAATTAAAATCGGGAAGTAAATACTGGTGGCTATAAAACCAGTTTTATTGAGAAGGTAGTGTATGAAAGTAGAAGTGCCAACTGCAGAGTTTTGAAAGACAAACAAGGTATTGGATAGGTGAATGAGAAAGCGTGTAAGACCTGCTCTTATGTAGTCTTTGCAGAGCTACTGTACTCTGAGTGCTTCATCTAAGTGAAGGCTAGCTTGAGAAATTAAATGTTTTGATCTTGTACGATTTACCTCCCACTTGCTCTCAAATGTAAATGATATACTTAAGCCTTTTGTAAGGCCTGGAAATATTTAAGCAGACTCTTTATTTGTTTGGTTTTGTTTTTTAAAAACTTCTTTTTACCTGCAGTGTGATTAAGGAGGTATTGGGGAGGCAAGGACAATCCCCAGACATGGACTGTATATCTCGAAACAGACACTGGAACTCATGATAAGGAAGCGGCAAACGGACAGAGAAACAAATGTAAGGACTATAAAGATCAAAACTGGACATTGGAACTTCATTATAACGATACAACAAACGGAGAATTGGCAACAACCAGCTCTGGCAATTAAGAAACGTGGCCAATTCAGCAGATTCCTGACCAAAAGTGAAAAGTACACTGTGAGGAAGACTCGGGTCTTCTCCCAGAGACCCCTGCCCACGTCCCAAAGACCCCTGCCCACAATTCTTGGGAGGCTCTACGCAGGCGCAAGGTGCCAAAAGGCTAATTAGCATGAGAAGCAAGGGAAGGCGGGGGGATAGGTAATGCGTATGTAGAGGTGCTTGTAGAATATTGATAGATTGATTGTATAAATTCAAGACTGCTTTCCGCTTTGGGTATGCACGATAGGTGGAGAGATCCCCGTGCATCCAGCACTGCAATAAAGAATATACCACTTAAAGGAATTTCGGCTTCAATCTTTGAATCAATCTGGCACCCCAGATGGGACTACCTCTCTGCCGGTCCGCAGAGGACCCGCTGGGGACAGGACTCCCTAGGGTACCCCCGGGATTTACCGGAGGGACTCCTCGACTCACCGGATCACTGCGGAGGCAGACAAGGACCCCATCATTGTAAGTGAGTATATTCGTTATTCTGGTTTGGTTTTCTGGTAGACCGGTCATCTGGGACTGTCCAGTAAGTCGGAAGGTGATCTTCTGCAGGACAGTATTTGGTATATACTTCGTGGTTAGTACCACAAGTATATCTGGGGACCTTGAGGTCCATCTGTAACCTGGAACTGTCTGTAAGTCGGAAGGTGATCTTCTGCGAGGCAGTGTTTGGTATATACTTTGTAGTAAGCACCATAAGTATATTTGGGGACCTTAAGGAAAGAGCTCGCTTTAAGGTCCACATGGAATTGTGTTGTCTATTTCGGTTTCTGACTCATGGAGTATGGTATTTAACTCTGGTTATTGTTACTGTGATTTTGGCTATTTTTCTGGTGGTAATAGTAGGTTCGTGGCATTGTTATAAGAAAGATATCGCTATGGTGTTACACAGTTCGGTTTTCTGACTTATCGCATGTGGAATTTGACTCTGACTATTGTATTGTGATTTTAGCAATATTGCTGGTAATAGTAGCTTTGTGAAATCGCTACTGAAAGATATTGCGTGCCTGTAATTTTGTGAGTGATACGTTTTTGTGATACATTTTTGTAAGTGATATGTGTATTCTGAAAGTGTGAACTGAAAAATGGGGGGGCACACAAGCAGTGAAATTTTAAAGAAAAGTGCGTTTAGGATGTGTTTTGAGTCACTGGAAGGATATTGGAGGATCTGCCGGTGGAAGTGTGAACAGGAAAACATTGATAAAATATTGTAATCAATGGTGGCCGCTTTATAAGCTGGAATGTGGAGAAAAGTGGCCCCTAAATGGAACTTTAAACTCTAATGTTTTGCTACAGTTAATGTTGGTTTTGAGAAGGAGAATAGGATGAATGTTGTATACTGATGTTGTTTCAGCATCTTGGTGGGAAAAGGTACGGAATTAAGTTGGCCCCTGACTGAGCCTTTGATGTTGGCATTAGAGAAGTACAGGCTGGAGAAAGATTAAAGGAAGTGTTAAAAGGGTTGTTGAAAGTGTTAAAGGTGTTTGAAGTTGAATGAGCAGGGAAGAAGAGGATGTAGGAATGTTAATAGTTCTGCCTCTGCTCTAGGCAGAGATCTTAAAATCATGGGTGTTAGCCCTTTGGGGCAAATGGATCATGATGGGTCCGAGAGAGAGTTGTTTATGGAAACAGAAAAACAGTTAACTCTTAAAACAACCTGAGTTCATGTGCGAGCTCAGATTACCGATGGGACCGCTCAGGGAACTGTGGACAACTGCATTCCCCTGACCGACCCCACTGAGACCCTAATCATCCCTAAAATTAGGAACGGTAAGGAAATACTAAAATCTGGATGAATTGGGAATGAGAATATGCTTCCACAAGGTCTAAAAGAAACCCTGTGGAATTTTTGGACCAACTCTGAAATGTAATGGGGAAGAAAGAAAGAAGAAAGAAAAAAAAAAAAAAAAAAAAACCAAAACTGTTTGGACCTGGCTTCAGAGGACAAATTGACTAGCCTTTTTTCTAGGGTAATCATCGGCCCCTGATTTCAAACAGGTCTAATGGGGACCTGGGGAATCTACCTAGTAGATCCTCCACTGATTATAATGAAGTTAGGAGAGGAACAGAAGTGAAGTTTCTTATTGATATGGGGGCAACGTATTCAGTTCTAAACCAAGCATTAATGCCTTTAC